GAGGTGCCAGTGTTGGACTGAGGTGGACAAGGTCAAAAATCACACGACACCAGGTTATGGTGCAACAGGTTTATTTGTGTCTTCCAATAGACCTGTTTGGACTATAACCTGGTATTGTGTGATTTTAGACCTCGTCCTCGAGTTTAACCTTCATCTGTACAACTCATCACTTCTTCTAAGAGGGACTTGATAAGATGAACGGCTGTACATCAGCATTTTACTTCAGAAATGTAATCCCTACTTCTTGGCCTAATCACAGATCAATACGTATTGAATAAATATCATCTGGTCTTAATGCAGGAAATGGAAAACTCTTTAATTAATAATTTGCAGAGAGTTTGAAACCGTAGCAGAATAAGTTCATGTTGGACACTGGATGGATACTAGTAACAAGCTTCATCACAACTTCAGCTATTTTCTGGTCTATACATTAATGACCCAACGGTTATCTCCCCTGCTCACTTTTCTAATGGGTTCAAGAAACAATGTTGACTGCCACTTTTGGGATCAAAGCTGTGAATATAGCCCTAGTAGGCTATTCATTGGCTCATAATATACCCCATTTTACTCTACCATCTTCTAGTTTGCTTAAAACCTGCTCTCATAGTTTTTGAAATTCAACCCCATTTGCATGCAAGAGCAGTGTATTTCACAGGAGTACAACATGCTTAAGTTTGAAACTTGCTTGCACAATTTGCACCTTTTTATTTTGTGAAGAATTGCCATCTTTTTGTCATACGCATTTGTGCTGAAAGCCTGCAATTTGTGAAAATTGTAACATTCAGAATTAATGAGAGTTCTAAGGGTTTGCTACACTTTATTGTTACAAAATCTTCCCAAGCTCCTTCTTCCTCTTAGGCTCCTCCTCAGGATTGAGGGTAACTTGCTTTCACTCCAGGCTTGTGAGTTCTGAGGTGACCAAGCAGTCCAATGCTGGACGTATCCATCCTGGCACAGTTGGAGCAGGTGCTGTTTGAAGAGGTGGGTGTGATGCTCAGATTTTCACATGCTCCTTCCACCGTTTGCAGTTGGCCTTCCTCTGGGCCTGTCGGAGATGCTAGAGATGATTGGCATCTTTGCAGATGCTTCCTCTCCATTTTGAGTGGTCATGGGCAACAGATTCCAACAAGTTGGTGGATATGTTGCATTCTTTCTCAGGGATGCTTTAAGAATGTCCTTGAGCAGTTTTCCCTCCCCTCCCGATAACCATTTGACATGTCAGAGCTCGGAGTAGAGTTTTGTGTCAGGCGACTGGGCAATTTGACCACCTGACTCCTTCCACCACCACCACCAAATTTTGCTGATTTTCCAAAACCAGCAGCTTGAAGCTGAGGATGCAGGCCTAAGAGAAGACACTGATATTGGAGAAGGCTGTTAAGAGGAGTTTATCTTCTGGATATGTAACCTTTCACGTGTCTCTAGTTTGGAGCTCAGCCTCTGAATCGGAAGTATCATCTAAATACTGCAGGTCAGTGCCAGAGGGTGGAGTGCCCTCGGGGCTTTGAACTGAAAACGACACACGTTGAATAGTTTCCTGCTCATCCTGAGGAGAAACTCAGAAACTGTTAGCTCAATTGGCTGGATATCTGGTTTCGTAGCGTGAAATCAACAGTGCGGGTTCAACTCTCACACTGGTTTAGATTATCATGAAGGCTTTTTTCTTTGTTCATTCACGGGATGAGGGCATCGCTGGCCAGGGAGCATTTATTGCCCATCCCTATTTGCCCAGAGGGCAGTTAAGAGTCAACCACATTGCTGTGGGTCTAGAGTTACATGTAGGCCAGACCAGGTAAGGACAGCAGTTTCCTTCCCTCAAGGACATTAGTGAACCAGATTGGTGTTTCTTGACAATCGACAATGGATTCACGGTCATCATTAGGTTCTTAATTCCACCATCTGCTGTGGCGGGTTTGAACCTGGGTCCCCAGAATGTTAACTGGGTCTCTGGATTAACAGTCCAGTGATAATACCACTCGGCCATTGTCCCTCCTCACCTCTCTCTAATTAGTGAGCAGCTCTCTAGTCCTCTGGGACCATGGTGATGTAACTATTGCTGACATTTCAGGTTAGACCTGCTGCAATGTTCCAATGAAGTCTGATGCAAGCTGGAAGATAGGACCTCATTTGCCACCTTGGTACTTTATGGGCTTCAGAACTCGACAATGAATTCAATGACTTTTGACCATGAACTTAGACCTCAACTTCTATCCATCCATCCCACCTCACAGGACCACCAATGTGCAAACATTTGCTCTCAGCATACAGCCATAGAGATCTACAGCACAGAAAAAAGGCCTTCAATCCATCAAGTCTGTGCTAATTACCTAACTGTTCTAGTCCCACTTTATCACACTCAGCCCATTGCCTTGCATGCCTTAGCATCACAAGTGTTCACTTCAATACTGCTTACATGTTATGAAGGTTTCTGCCTCTAACATCTTGGGAGGCAATGAGCTCCAGCATCCCACCACCCTCTGCGTGAAAAAAACCTTTTCTCTAAACCTCCTGCTACTTACTTTAAATCTATGCTCCCTGGTCATTGCTCCCTCCATCAAGCAGAAAGTTTTTTTCCCATCTACCCCGTCTATGCGCCTCATAATTTTATACACCTCAATCATTTCCCCTTCTGCTCCAAAGAAACAGCCCCAGTCTATCCAATCTCTTTTCATAACTAAAACACTCAAGCCCAGGAACATCCTTTAAGTCTCCTCTGCACCCTCTCCAAGGCAATCACATCCTATCCTGTGAATGAATGAAAACAGAACAGATTTGTGTGATGGAGCATGCTGTGCGTGAGTGTGGGATCAGGTGATTGGCATGTCAATGGATTGATACTGAGACCAGGAGGTAGAGACAGCACCTGCAGTTTTTATTCATTCACAGGATGAGAGAGTCATTGGACGGACCGGCATTTTTTTGCACATCCCTAATTGCCCAGCGGGCAATTAAGAGTCTCAACCATATTACTGTCGGGTGTGGAATCACATGTAGGCAGACCAGGTACGGATTGCAGTCTCCTACCCTAAAGGGGTAAGTGAACCAGATGAGTTTTCTGACATTGGATTCATAGTCATCATTAGACTCTTAATTCCAGAATTTTACTGAATTCAAATTTCCACCATCTGCCCTGGCAGGATTCAAACCCAGGTCCCCAGAACATTACTGAAGTCTTTGGATGAACAGTCCAACGATAATACCACTAAGCTGTTGCCTCCCTGTTCCAAAACCCCCACATTTGCCTGGTTCTGAATTCTTGTGACTTTAGCTCTGTTTGCAATCTCAGGTCTGTCCATTATATCCTCCAGCAGTGTGGGAGCGATCTGCTGGCCAATCTGCCTGATATCAAGTTCTCTATTTTGTTCCGTCTTCTCTTTATCTCAGCCTACTTCCCTGTTTTAGCAGGGGCCTTAATCCTTACATTTCTACCTCTGATGCACAGTCAATGTCCTGATCCATTAGTCATATTTCACTGTCCAAACTGGTAGGGGAGTGCCGGCTTTTCACTGAGAGCTTGTATTGAAACCATCCTTATGTGCCTACCCAGGTGGATGAAAGATGTCAAAGTGGAAGATGGGAGTTCTTCCTGCCCAGAAGGAAAGAACGGAAAATGTGTGAAGTGACATATATTGGTCCATCTTGTCTTGTGTACCTCAAAATGGAGCTTCAGAATGACCAGTATGCTCCTTGCCAAGTATTGCTGTATTGTTTTTTAATTATTCCTTCAGTCTTGGAGGTGTCCTGACCAATATTTATCTCTCCATTGACATCACAAAACAATTATTGCCACAGCATCCCACAACATTTCCAGTGTCTACACCTCGAAGTTTCATTGATTGGAGAGCTCCTTTGGATCTACCAGAGTGACAAAAAGGCTCCATATCAATGCATAGAGCTGGATGAACACAGCAGGCCAAGCAGCATCAGAGGAGCAGGAAGGCTGACGTTTCGGGCCTAGGCCCTTCTTCAGAAATGGGGGAGGGGAAAGGCGTTCTGAAATAAATAGGGAACTTCTTCAGGGTAGGCATCCTTAGAAGAGGCTTCGCAGTGGGGTTAAAATTGTTTCAGAGATAGCAGGAACTGCAGATGCCGGAGAATCTGAGATAACAACTTCCCTATTTATTTCAGAACCCACTTCCCCTCCCCCATTTCTGAAGAAGGGTCTAGGCCCGAAATGTCAGCCTTCCTGCTCCTCTGATGCTGCTTGGCCTGCTGTGTTCATCCAGCTCTCCAACTTGTTGTCTCAGATTCTCCAGCATCTGCAGTTCCTGCTATCTCCATATCAATGCAGGTTGTTGAGTATTTGCTTCACTGTTTTACACAGTGAGATATTGCGGATGTTTTACACGGTGAGATGTTGCGGATGTTTTACACGGTGA